GGGGGGGGGGGGGGGGAGGAGGCAGGAGGATTGCTTGAGCTCAGGATTTCAAGGCCAGCCTGAGTAACACAGTGAGACACTATTTCATAAAGCAAAACCAAACAAAACCCATAAAAAAATAAAAACAAAACAAAAAACCCAGGGGAGTTATTCAGGCATTTCTACTTCCAAAAATGTAACTAAAGAGGCATATTTTCCAAAGTTACAAACAGAAAAGGATTAAAAAACCCTTAAGTGCTTGGCTTTATCACCTTATGCTAAGAGACTGCTGCTAACCTTTCAAGGTAATTTTAAACATTAAATGCCTAACATCATTATATAGTTCCAGTTCTTTCACTTACCCTAAAAAATTACTTAATTTTTATGCCTGTAATTCACTTTCCTTAAAAAACATTACCACTACTTACCTTAATTATTGTTCTTATCCATTTTAAGTAATTCATATTCAATTTTTTATTGCAAGGTTCATTACACCTTTAACAGACATTTAAAATGGGCCAAATTCTCCCCTAAGACTCTGAAAAACACCACTGAATAATAATAATGATCTATGCATACACTTCTGGTTAAACTAAACATGTTATAGCATACATGGATAATGCTGACTGAGGCACACTTAATAAAATAAACTAGAACAGCTATGATATTCTAATCACTTGAATCGTAAGTACTTGTTCTTGACTAAACTAAAAATGAATCCTCCATTAACTGTAATGTAATTCTGATTCAAAAGATACCACTGCTATAAAACACTTCACTAATATCTAGGACAAGTTATTTTTAACCAGGGATGTGCATAAGAATTACTAATGGAGATTTTTCACAAACTATACAAGTGCTCTTCTGCTTCTAGTCATGATGGAATGGTTTCAGGCTGACCAACACTTCCACTAAGAACAAAGAATAGTTCAATAAAAAATTTTTGCGTTTTTTTAAAGCCTGAAATTATTAGAGAACTGCTCAGACAACAAGGACCCCAAGGGATAAAATCACAAAGAAAGGGAAGTGCACAGGGAGGTGAGCCAGCACTCTGCGGCTGCTTGCCTTCAGCATTTGACTATTCCAGGAGCAGGGTAAGAGGGGATTAAAGAGCCCAGGAAGGACTGTACAGAGCTGCTATTATTAGGGAGAAAAACTGCTGAGATTTTAGCTGTCTCAGGGGGTTGAAGAGGCCAGAATCCTAGGAGGAACAACAGAACAGTGGAGTACTGAGTTCAACATCCTTCCAGTTTTCCCCTTAGACATCTGCAAAGTTCTTAAGTTATGTGGGGTAGAAGTCTGAGAAGAGCAGAAAGCCTACAAGAACACAGCAGTGATTAGCAGCCTTACCAAGGTGAGAAAACAAGATTGGTGATCAGGTTACTAAAGAGAGGAAGAACTCTAGTAGAGGAACTCTAATTCGAGGGAACTCCAGGCTCTCAACTGGGAACCTTTAAGGAGTTACATCCCAGGGGCAGGGATGAACTAGAAGACTGAGTCTTACCAAAACAGCCTGGCATCATGTCAATCCCTGACTGAAATGAAGAGATCAGCCTCACTCTGCCTACTAAAGGGGACCAGAATATGCCACCCTAAATTATGCCAATAATTATTTTGAACAGAAGGTAATCGATAACAGTCGACACAGGAAAAGCTATAAAAACAGAACATACATTTCCTTTTTGTAAAATAAAGTGTTCTCTCACTTACCAGGAAGAGGAGGGTAACTCTTATTACCTATGGTGATTTGAATCTGTAAAACAAACCTTAACTAAACAACCTTGATTTATCACAAAACAAAATTGTGAGATACAGTTAAAATTATGCTTAGATGAAAACTTAAACCTTAAATGCTTTATCAGAAAGGAAGAAAGACTGAGAGATCTAAATATCTACAAAGAAATTACAAAAGAATGGCAAAACAAATAAAAAGAAAATACTAAAGGGAAATAATAGAGTGTAAATTAATAAAACAAGGCAAATGTACAAAAGAGAAAAAAAAAACCCTAAAGGTTAGTTCTTTGAAAAGACAAAACAAAAACAAAACATAGATCTCTAAGAGAGACAAATGAGAAAAATAGAAAAATTTAAATTTAAGAAGGACTTCAAAAACTACAGATCTTGAAGTTATTAAATGGAAAATAAGACAAATATTAGGACCAATTTAAATCAGTATAACTGGAAATTTAAAAGAAATTAGCAAATTCCTAAGAAGAACCATAGGTTATTAAAAAGAAAACAAGAAACAAAAAATTTTGAAAAGTCCTATATCTATTAAAAGATTAGGTCAAACTTTACAGAAACTTGGATAGACTTAAGCATCTATAATACTAAGTGATTTATCACAGAAACAAAGAACTGAGTATCATATGCTTTCACTCATAAGCAGACCATGAATAATTATTGTAATACTATAAGAAAAAGATTGGCAATAATGGGAATCTGCCAGGGGAGTAGGGGTGGGGGGAAGCACATCTCATCAACAAGGGTAGTTGCATAATGAACATTTGTATACCTAACTTTGAATTGAACCCCACATCTTTAAAATAAAAAATTTTTAAAAGAAAAATAAAATAAAGACTATTAGTAAAAAACAAACAAAAAACCAAAACCTTAGGCCAGGTGTGGTGGTTCATGCTTGTAATCCCAGCATTTTGGGAGGCCAAGGCGGGAGGACTGCTTGAGGCTGGGAGTTCAAGACCAGCCTAGGCAGCACAGCAAGACCTCTTCTCTAAAAAAATACAAT